ATCCGGAGCTACGTGTTGACGTTTCTGGCGAGCAAGGGGCAGGAGCTGCAGGGGTTCGTGACGACGAGTCTGATCCAGTTGCTTGGCTGGATCACGAAGCTGGGATGGTACGACGACGACCGGTTCCGGGACATTGTGAAGGAGGCGATGAAGTTTTTGACGCAGGGGATGGTGGACCATTTTCTGATAGGGCTGAAGATCTTCAATCAGCTGGTGTCGGAGATGAATCAATCGAACCCGGGGCTGTCGCTGACGCACCATCGGAAGACGGCGTGCAGCTTCCGTGATCTGGCGCTGTTTCAGATATTCCAAATTTCGCTGACGTCGCTGCAGCAGCTGCAGATGGACGCGGCGGACGAGAGGTTGCGGGAGCAGGCAATCGCGCTGTCGCTAAAATGTCTGTCGTTTGATTTCATTGGGACGTCGCTGGACGAGAGCTCGGAGGATCTGGGGACGATTCAGATACCATCGTCGTGGCGGCCGGTTCTGGAAGATACGTCGACAATGCAGCTGTTCTTCGACTACTACGCGAGCACGAAACCGCCGCTGTCGAACGAGGCGCTGGAGTGCTTGGTGCGGCTGGCGTCGGTACGGCGGTCGCTGTTTTCGGGAGAGGCGGAGAGGTCGAAGTTTTTGTCTCATTTGATGTCGGGGACGCGGGAGATCCTTCGGACGCAGCAGGGGCTGTCGGAGCACGAGAACTATCACGAGTATTGCCGGCTGCTGGGGCGGCTGAAGACGAACTACCAGCTGTCGGAATTGGTGAGCGTGGAGAATTATGGGGATTGGATCCGGCTGGTGGCGGAATTCACAATCCAGTCGCTGCAATCGTGGCAGTGGGCGAGCGGGAGCGTGTACTACTTGCTGGGGCTGTGGTCGCGGCTGGTGTCGTCGGTGCCGTATCTGAAGAGCGACTCGCCGAGTCTGTTGGATAGCTACGTGCCGAAGATAACGGAGGCATACATTACGTCGAGGCTGGACTCGGTGCAGGCGGTGTTGCAGAACAACATCGCAGAGGATCCGCTGGACAACGAGGAGCACCTGCAGGACCAGCTGGACAGCTTGCCATATTTGTGTCGGTTCCAGTACGACAAGACGAGCAGCTACATCGTGGCGCTGCTGGAGCCCATATTGCAGGTACGGCTTCTTCCATGAGAAGCGATTGCCGCAGTTGTCCGGGGTGCAGCAATTTGTACTTACGGGATGTGGGGCTGTGGGTGTCGTGTTGCAGGTGCAGTGTACAGTCGACGGGTAAATACGCTGTTGGTTGTTGGTTGTTGTGACGACTTGTGCGGTGAATGGGAGTGGGTTGGAGAGTGTGAGAGGTAGAGATGCGGATGCGGTGGAGAGATTTGTGATGTGGATGAGTTGTGAGGTCGGGATGGGGTTGTGGGAATGTGGGGAGCGTGCGAGTCGGGGAGAGGGGAGGGGAGTCCGGCGCGATTGTTGTGGGTGCGGAGGAAGGGCGAGGATGAGGCATTATGGGTGGATGGGCGGAGGGAGTGGCGCATTGGCAGTGGAGGGGGCGTTGGGTTGTGATGAGTTGGGGACAGGCTGTGGTGTCGCAATGCCTGGTCGGTCCTGTGTGTTTGTGTGTATGTGGTAGTAGCATTGGTGAGTAAGGGGTGGCGGTAGCATTGGTGAGAGCGCAGGACGGTGGGGTTGATGAGGAGGAGGTGTGGGTGGAAGGTGAGGGGTGGAGTAGTGACGCGAGTGCGATGTTTGTGATGGGTGCAGAGTTATACGGAGGCTGGGAAGATGCAAGCGGCGGGGGAGAGCCAGCAGCTGCAGGCGATGGAGGGTCAGCTGACGTGGTTGGTGCACATAATTGGGGCGATCGTGAGGGGTCGGCAGAGCTCGAGCAGCAGCGCGGAGCCGCAAGAAGTGATCGACGGAGAATTGGCAGCGCGCGTGTTCCAGCTGATTCAGGTGACGGATACGGGTTCGCACGTGCAGCGGTATGCGGTGAGCAGCAAGCAGCGGCTGGATCTGGCGATTCTGTCGTTTTTTCAGAATTTTCGGAGGGTGTACGTGGGCGACCAGGCGATGCACTCGAGCAAGCAGCTGTACGCGAGGCTGAACGAGCTGCTGGGTCTGCAGGACCATCTGATGGTGCTGAACGTGATCGTGGGAAAGATCGCGACGAACCTGAAGTGCTACGCTCAGAGCGAGGAGGTGGTGAAGCAGACGCTGAATCTGTTTCAGGAGCTGGCGGCGGGGTACATGAGCGGGAAGCTGCTGCTGAAGCTGGACGCGGTGAACTACATTTTGGAGAACCACACTCGGGAGTATTTTCCGTTTTTGGACGAGTACAGCAATTCGAGGAACCGGACGATCTTCTACTTCACGCTGGGGAGGCTGCTGTTCATGGAGGACAGCTCGGCTAAGTTCAAGGCGTTCATATCGTCGCTGCAGCAGGTGTTTGTGAGCTTGGAGGTGACGCCGGAGCAGGTGTTTCGGTCGGACGGAGTGAAGTTCGCGCTGATCGGGTTGATGCGGGATCTTCGGGGGATAGCGATGGCGACGAACAGCCGGAGGACGTACGGGCTGTTGTTCGACTGGCTGTACCCGGCGCACACGCCGCTGCTGCTGCGAGCGATGGAGCAGTGGACGGACACGCCGGAGGTGACGACGCCGCTGTTGAAGTTCGTGGCGGAGTTCGTGATCAACAAGACGCAGCGGCTGACGTTCGATTCGTCGTCACCGAACGGGATCCTGCTGTTCCGGGAGATCAGCAAGCTGATCGTGGCGTACGGGTCGCGGATACTGGCGCTGCCGACACCGTCGGACCCGTACACGTACAAGTACAAGGGGATTTGGGTGGCGCTGACGATTCTGACTCGGGCGCTGGCGGGGAACTACGTGAACTTCGGGGTGTTCGAGTTGTACGGCGACCGAGCTCTGGCGGACGCGCTGGACATGGCGTTGAAGATGTCGCTGTCGATACCTCTGGCAAGCATCATGGCGTTTCGGAAGCTGGCTCGGGCGTACTTCGCACTGCTGGAGGTGCTGTGCCACAACCACACGTCGGTGATCGTGAACCTGGACACGGCGACGTTCGCGCACCTGGTGGGGTCGCTGGACACGGGAGTGAAGTGTCTGGACGTGAGCATTTCGTCGCAGTGCGCTTCGGCGGTGGACAATCTGGCGGCGTTCTACTTCAACAACATCACGGTGGAGGAGAGCCCGAGCTCTGCGGCAGCGGTGAACCTGGCGAGACACATCGCGGAGTGTCCGACGCTGTTTCCGGAGATATTGAAGTCGCTGTTCGAGATCGTGCTGTTCGAGGATTGTTCGAACCAATGGAGCCTGAGCAGGCCGATGCTGTCGCTGATTCTGATAAACGAGCAGATATTTACGGGGCTGAAGTCTCAGATACTGGCGACGCAGCCGCCGGACCAACAGCATCGACTGGCGGGGTGCTTCGACAAGCTGATGGCGGACGTGACGCGGACGCTGGAGCCGAAGAACAGGGACAAGTTCACGCAGAATTTGACGGTATTCAGACACGACTTCAGGGCGAAGTAGGATAGTGCAATCGGGGCCGGAGGTCCTGGGCAAGCTAGGCAATTTTGGATGGCAGGGGATTCGTGGTCCGGGAGGAGGGTGCAACTGGAGGCGAGCGGGGCGAGCGGAGAGGAGGCATGGCGGGGTTGGCGAGCGGACGGTTGGAATTCGCGAAGGGGGGATGGCGGCAGGTTGGGAGTTGACTTGCGCGTGGAGGTTGTGAGCCCGTGATCCCTGGCGGGTGTGGTCGGTGGGGATGTTGAGTCGATCTGCGCGGTGCAGACGTTGGGACGCGGGAGCGGGTGAGGCGGTGGTTCCGTTTTAGACCGGCGCCGGAGAAGACGCCCGTCCCGTGTGGACGCGGGCGTCTGGATGCCCGTGAGTGGGTGGGCAAGTCTTTGTGAGCGTATAGTGTACATGTTGTGAACAGAGCATTATTTTCATATTGGAACAGTGAAGCATAGCAGACTTGCAGACGAAGAACTTGCGATGCCGGATGTGGTGTTTTGAGATTGTCACCTTACATACACGGGCTTTTTATGCTTCCTCTCTTTTTTGTGTAGTAGCGTGGGCTGTTGTGTGTGGTGGTGAACGAAGTGCGGCGCGTCGTTGGACGTCGTGGGCGCCACCCGCTTGGGAGGGACAGGCGGAGTCATGAGTCGAAGTGGCAATGGGCAGGTCGGATAGGGTGGAGAGCCAAGGAGTTTGGATGAGGGTGTACTTGTGTGCTTGTGCAGTTGGATGCGTGCATGTAGAGCGAGGCCGAGGATGACGTGATTTTGCGTGCGTCGCGGGGTTTGGGATATAGCTGGAAGCACGTGCAGTTGTTGTGATGGCATACGGCGCGTGTGAAAGTCTGAACTCGGGTCGGTGGTGTGATTGATGACGCGAGGTTAGGATGAGGTGGGGTTGTGGTTGTGTTGAAGTCCATGCACCGCATACGATGGGATGGATCAGAGGGGGGACCTAGCTCTGTGATTCGAGCAGAAGGTCGTGTGCAATCGGGAGAGGCGCAGTAGTCGTTTGCCTGTGTTGGTCAAGGGCGCAGGGGGTGTGTGGTTGGAAGTGGGCAATGTTGAACGGCGTGAGCACGAACCACTTTCGGTTGCGGGGATTCGGTTGTCGGGTTGGAAGGGGTGCTAGTCCTGCTGCACATCACTGCGGAATAGATGGCATGGGAGGTAGTGAGATTGTTGAGGTCCATGTGGGCGAGGCCGCACGATTCCGTGATGGGCGTGAGACAATGCACGAGCCTAGCAGGGTTCTCCAGGAACCTGTTTTCCATGGAGTCCGGAAACTCTCTTGCACGGCTTGTGGTTTATGTCGTGTTGCAATAAATGGATGAGTCGATTTGTGCCAGAGTACGTGGATCTATGGAGGGTTGTGGTCGGAGGTGAAGAGTGTTAAAGTGCTTGCGAGAAGAGTGGAGGTGGTTATGTCTTCGATTTCAAATGTCGTGCAGGCAGCAACAATGATGAATTTGGTATCAGATTTCTAGATACTTGGATGGTAATCGCATGATGAGATGATGGTGTGGCAAGCGTGGGTGGTATCTTGATCTGTGTGTGTGTGTGTGGGCGGATGGGCGGTCGTAAATTGTATGGACACCGCTCTGCATTCTGAGACTACAAATTGATTTGCTTGGGCGTGGGCGTACAAAGTACTGGGTTTTGATGTCTGTCACTAGGTGTCGTCCTGATGCATTGTATTTAATCCCTGGGAGGACTCACGGATAAGTGTTCTATAGTGGAAGTACGCGAAGAGAACGAGCTTTGACTGAAATCGCGAATGTGTACTCACGGAACTATGTTGGACGTGAACGTGTTGCGAGAACAAGTCACTGTCTGCCAGAAAGGCACACACCCTCCACTCGCTTTTGTTAACATGCGTTGCGTGACGATGTGTTATCCGCGTCAGTCGCCATGTTCACGACAAACACTGTGTAGGTCCTTACAGTGGAGTGGTCACAGGGCAGCCGTGCGAAATCAATTATTCCGATAGGTTTCTCGGAATGCCGTTGACAATCCCTACTGAAATGAACACCCTTACTGAATTGAACACCCTCGCTGCATTTGTACTCGCCGATGCTCCATGTTTCTGTGTAGGCGTGGGGCATGACATGGCGCCAATTTGTCCAGCTGGGACGAAGGGTCTGCTGAAAAAGATGTTCAGTTTTGTTCGCAGCGTGGTGGCTGGGTGCGAGTTCGTCAGTTCGGGAAGCTAGGGCTCAATTTCAGGGGAAGCTTAGACGACTCATGGAGCGTTTTCGTTTGGTTGGTTGTGCGGTATCTGCTGCCGGCATTTGCTGAGTTGTCTGCCATCGGCAGAATTTGCTGACTGGGTTTTGTCGCAACGTTTCTGGCTATGACAAGAGGTGCCTCTGTTTTTCAATGACGTCGCGTGTGCGCCACCTCTTTGGGTTTGGTGAGCTTCCGTGCGAACCGTAATAGTGCGAGGAAATGATGATGGGTGTGAAGTGTGGGCGAGTGGTTTGAGTTGGCGGAACCCCTGTGTGGATTGCGGTGCAGGCATCCAGGGTGCGGGGGTGGCAAGCGAGTGGGTGCAATGTCGGTGCTACGGGAGCGGGGGCTCTAGCCCGTTGGTAATGTACAAGGATAGTATTCGGAGAGGCGAGTTGGAATCCGGCAATTTGGCGCAGGTGCGTGTGGTAGATGGGTTGTTTTTCTTCAGCAGTTTCATGAGATTCTTTGGTGATGTTTCGGTTGGGTTTTAGCTGTGCGAAGGTTTCGAAGGTTTGCGGTCTCCCGAGAGCTGCAGGACTGCAGAATGGGGGAGATTCTCGGTTCAAGACCGCATCAAATGTGGTGACGACAGTGTGTGGTTGTAGTATTGCAAGCGAGAGCAGCACGGATTGTTGGCATGCGTATGATTAATTTGTAGGCAAATAGGCGAGTTGAGGAAGGCAGAATCGTACCATGTGTATCGTCAGTTTGACGCCTGGTATGGTGGTTGACACCTAGGCATGAAAGGAATGGTGATGGTGAATTTGACATCTAAAGATTGTGGGTTTGAGTAGGTGAGAGCTGTGGAAGCTCTTGAAAAGCTTCACCATGAGTTGGAACGGGCTGAAGAGGCCAGGTAGTGCCCTGTTGACGGTCACTTTTTGCATGTATGTGTTCAAGGCTGTTACGAAGAGTCGGTTGCGCATTGTGGAAGGGTTTTGGTGTGTGCATATGGACGGGGTGGGATGATGGACGTTGTAAATGGAGAGCATACGTTCGTGTGGGTGAGGTCGTTGACGGAATGCAGTGTTTACCGGCAGGTGGTGGCAGCGAATGGCGAGGTGGTACCAGCCCTCCGCGCAGTTGGGCATATACATGCATGGGAGCGTGGGAACCGGGAAGACATTGCTGATGGATCTGTTCTACAATCAAGTGCCTGTGCGCCGAAAGCGTCGCGTACACTTCCATTCATTCATGTTGGTGCCTCGGATGACCCGGAGATTGTTTCAAGCTTGCTTGTTGCTTGTGTTGCATGTTGAGGCGCTACAGCCAGGATTACGGGCTCGGGATGACGGATGCTGATGGTGGGAATCGGAGGCTGGCAGGCTGGATGTGCAAAAACGACTGCACAAGTACGGGAGGGTCGACGACGCAGTTCGATTGGTAGCATGGCAACTGTTGGAGCAATCTCGCGTGCTGTGTTTGGACGAGGTTGAGGGTAAGCCGTCTTGTTTGCACAGACGTGCGCTGCGTTTTCAGAGAGGAGATGGTTCGATACAGGTCTTGGGTTGGATGGACGGAGGGGCACGAGAAGCGTGCATTTTGGAGGACGGATTAGGTTGAAATCTTCTGCTAAGGGCAGATATACGCAGCTTTGATTGTGTTAGGATTTGGGCGGAGGAAGGTGATGATGAGAATATGAGGGTGACTTACAGAGTGTTTGACGGCAATCGCAGTAACAGATATAGCAGACGCGCTGATGCTGAAGCGGTTGTTCGAGGTTTTGTGGGCCATGGGCATCGTAGTGGTGGCGACTTCCAACTCAGCCCCAGATCAGCTGTACGAAGACGGGCTGAACCGGCAGCTGGTCAGTGAGACTGTCATTTTGATAATGGGGTGTGAAACTTCTTAGGAGCATGCAGCTGTGCCTGATTTAGCTGTTAGGGCGCTTCGTGGTTACGGCCGAGTCACTAACGGCAGAGGTGCAGTTGTGGAGCTTGGCACCACGGAGTTGGCGAGCGTGGGATAGGTGTGGTACTCACACATTCATGTGCTTGACAGTTCTTACCTTTCATCCGCCGGCTAAAGGAGAACTGCAATGTCTACAGTTTGAACACAATGGATGGGAAGGATTATCGGCGTCGTCACGCGTGGTCGGGACATTTGTATCATTGTCCCGTCGCGGAAAATGTCGACGGCATCATGGATGAATGGTTTTTGAAACTGACAGGTGAGCATCACTGTGTCCACCTGCGAACTTGTCCACTGTGTTTGTTGGTCGGAGCGGAAGAGTACTTGGCGCTTAATGAGAGTCACTGACGAACAGCAATGTAGGGATTGGTTGGAAGCACCGAGCAGTCACTTACATAATCCAAATTCGCAGCTCGCAAAGGGTAGTGGCAACCTTCCCGGCCATGTGGTGCAAGTTTTTCACTTCCTAGATGCCTTCTGGTTGGGAAGGTTGATGCGTAAATGGATGAGAAAGATCGGTCATGACGCTGAACCTAGCACTTTCAGAATTTAGCTTGTGGATTCTGCAAATTTTGCCATGTACGTGGTCATTGCTTCTAGAGCCAAGTGCAAGGAGCTGAGTGAAGCGTTGTGTGAAGCAGGAGTGGAAGGGACGGATCAGCGGATAGAGGGTTTCATGGGGAGGTCTTTTCGCATATTGGCCGCGGAAGATGTTGGAAGAGCTTCTTTTAGTTACTTGTGCAAGTCGGCATTCGGAGCTGCAGACTACATCGCAATTGCTGAAATGTATTCCGTACTACTTCTGGACAGGTAGGACCCACGTGGAGTAAACGATTCGTTGTTGTGACAAGGGATTTGAACTTGTCACTGGCACGCAGGTGAAGAGTGGTACCGGCGTGTCTGGATGAAAGAAAATGCATCGAGGCTTGATGTCAGGGTGTGGTAACGAATGCAGGGGGTATGGTGTGCAGGATTCCCAGACTTTCAGATCCAAGCTGTGAGAACGAAGCCCGGCGTTTCATCAACCTCATCGACATACTGTACGAAACCAACACCATACTGATATGCTCGGCCGAGGTTCCGCCGGATTCGCTGTTCTTTGATCCTTTGCAAAGATGTGTACTTGGGAGAGGACATAGCCTGGACGCAACAGAAGAGAAAGGAATTCGGATTGTGGGCGAGGGAGGCAGTTCGGGCAGGTCAACGTTGATGATAGGCAACATGGAATGGAGTGCCACTGGAAGACAGGGCGCTTCATTGGCAGACCTGACGGGGGCAAGTTTTACGAGGAAGGCAGCCCCTCGTGCCGTGTCTCGACTTGTGGAGATGCAAAGTGACATGTATGTCGCAAGGGCCAGAAGCACTCACATCCGAACCCGATTGGCGGAATTGGACCGCATGGATGTGGGGTCCAGAGGTGCACACTAGGGTCACTTAGATGCAGTGATATAGATGAATTGTTTCTCGAGGGAAAACGTCTCACAGCGCCACATTGCATGCTCATAGAAGCGAAGGTGTTCATCGCGTGCATGAACAAGGAGTCTTGTGAACATGATGAAAATTGTGGATGTCATTGTGTGAGACATCACTACGGTACTGTATCAGCCATTCAGACAACCATTGGTAATATACTTGGAAGTGTGGTTGAAATTATATTGTGTCTTATGTATTTTGTGGTGCATCCTCTGTTAGAATTGTGTCAGTTTGTGGTGTAATTTTTGTTTGTTAGCCACTTTGAAGAATCTGATGCATCGAGCATTATATTTGTGTTTAGTTGAGTATCGTTGGTTATGCTTCTTAAAAACTACATTTCTGGAAGGATATGATATAAGTTTACATTTTTATTATTATATAGTTATGATGTTTTGTAGTACTCATCACTTGAAGTAGCTTTAGTTGTTGCATGATATTATTTCTACATGTGTTGTATACCAACTAAATATATTACTGCTTAGTTTCATCCTAGGAAGGGTTTATAATAATTAGATATGTGGGTATGATTTATTGAAAAAGTTCATTTGTTTTTGATACCTCAGATAGGGTTTCTAACATTGAGAGATATGCATATGATTTGTTTAAGCAAGTGTATATCTCTCAAAGGTTTTTATTAATGAAGGAGAGGTACTTACATCCAAATTAAATTTAAGGACAAAATATATCATATTTTCATTGTGCTGATTGCATTGCTTTGCCTTCATATAAATAATTATTTTGGAGGATAAAACACAAGTTCATATAGCATTTAACAATATATGACTAAAATTGTGAAACATTTAATACTCAAAAGATATAAGTAAATTTTGGGGATCTTTAAAAGTAAAAGAGGATTAAGATAGTATAACACCTTTGTAAGTAGTAAGCTGATATAAATTTATTTATATTTATATTTTGTAGAAATAATGGTTTAATATAAATATATTTATACATTTATATATTTTAATCATTGATGTTATGTAAAAATCTAATGGTTTAAGGTGATTTTGAAATGATATTAAAGAAAAAATTGAAAAATATTATTTAATATTTTTTGTGTTGATGTTTAATTGTATTTATTCTAATTTATTTCTATATTTATAAAGATAAAACATCACAATGCAATTATTGATTTCAAATGTAATTTTTAAGTTAACTTTATTTAGATAACTGTAGAAGGTAAGTAGAAATGCAATAATAATCCTACCAAATCTAATAGAGTCTTGAATAAACTTTAAGCAATTCTTACTAATCTTAATCAAACTTTAGCCAATCCAAGTAAAATTAAAAAGAAAATACAAATGAAATGTAAAGAAATCATAATTAATCTCAAAGAAATATAAAAATAAGTTTTAAAAGAAATAACAATAATCTTAAAGAAATACAATAAATAGATTTTTTTTATAGGAATAATAAAGAATTCTAAAAATATAATAAAAATAAAAACTTTAAATAAATCCTAAGTAAATCTTAACTAAATCCTATATCAAACTTTAACTAAAATCCTAATTAAAATCCTAATGAACCTTAATCAAACCCAAGATTAAACCCTAATGAAATCCTAAATTTTAGACCAATCCTAATGAAATATTAGACGAATCAAAATCAAATTCTATTCAAACCTTAATGAAATTCTAGTCAAACCTTAAACCAACTCTAATTAATCCTTAATCAAATCCTAAATCTTAAATAAACTCTTAATAATCCTACAACAGATTAAAAATTCAATAACTAATGATTAAACCGTTGATTTTGACTCAATATTTTTACACCTTGTAACATCTAAGTTAGCAATAAGGACAAAAAATTTAAAGATCACACATACCAAATAACTACCTTTGAGAAAAAAATTATATCAATCCAACTAGCAAATTAGCAAATATCTTAGAAATCCTCATTGATTCTCTAAACCCCAATTTCCTAGACAATAATATATAAAAACCCTCATATGATTCAATCTAATTGTATGATTGGCCTCAAATTTTTCACACACATTCACAATAAGCACAACAAAAAATTGCCCAATTTTCACCTATAAACACACTACAAAACTTACAAAATCTTGAAATTTGTAAGCTTGCTTTTATTCTTAAAATCCAAATCTACTAAGTACATTACTAACTTTGAAAATCCCTCAAAATCTCAATATGAATCCAAATGATATGAAACCAACACTCAAATCTCTTTCCTTAAGTTTTTTCTCAAATTCCATTTTTTGACTTGCAAAAGAACCTTGGAGTTGCAATAGATATGTGGTTATGTGGCTTGGGGTCTGATTTTAACTTAGGTTGACAACTAATCCTCTTCGGATATCAATTTTTGATAATTTGAGGTAGTTTTTGCTTAAATCTATTGTTAACTCTCTCCTAAACATGATTATATTAATTTCTTATCTTATTTACTTTGATTTGGCTCATTTATGCCTCTACAAAGTAAATAGAAATCTCTTCTTCAAAAGTCAACATTGAGACTAAATTTTTTACTACCTTTATATAATTTATCATTGTTTTTTTATTACGTCTTTTTATTATGCTCTTCTATAATAACATCCATATTTTTATTTTTTGCCATATAGTCATGTTATCACATGACATCCACCTCTTTTGAACTTGTGCATCTTCTAATATATACCAAATAATCCAAATCTTATTTGATTCATATTATGTTCTCCTTGTCTTCATTCAATTCTTCTTCATCATTTTTGCTATCCAAATCAAAATCATCTTTTTGTCTTGAAAGATTTATGTTTTCAATAAGATCATTTATATTTATTTCCATTTTTCTTCATTTGAATATCTTCACTTGCTTTCTCACAACTGGTATTTTTAACCTTGTTCCATATAACTCTCGTAATGAATAAGTTACATTATCATGAACATTTGTTATTACATATGGTCCAAACCATCAATAAAAAAACTTCTTTAAATTATTAAGTTGATTGTCCAAGCTACTATCATAGACCAAATTCCAATCACCTTCTTCAATTGTTGTAGGTCTCAAGTTACTAAAATGATATATTAACTTCTATGAATAGGCTATTAATCATAAATATTATAAAAATTATATCTTTATCTTCTATTCTAAAATAAATTAGTTTAAAAAAATGTTTGAAGACATGTTTTGCTTATAATAGTTTTTTTTCCACATAAGTTGATATTCAAATATGTTACAAGTTAAGAAATTTTTGCTTCTATAACATTATTTTTTGTAATTACTCCAATATAAAAGAATCTACTAACATTACAAATGTATAAAAATGTGAAATACATTTTACAGATTTATAGATAACACAAACATATTTTAATTTTGCTTATAATAGTTAAAATACATGTTTTGTTTGTAATAGTTCTATCATGATCATAGGTTATTTGATACTTAAATTTTATTACTAAAAAACATCATGTAATCATGGTAATTTTAAAAATCAAACATTTATCAAAGTAGCAAGAACATTTGCTCATATTTTTTGGATTTGTTAGAAGAAAATTTATCCTGTGAAAATTTCATTACAACTGAGAGGATTTTCTTCATAAATAGTTAAACAATTATGAATTTTTCTTAGCATAGTCTCATAACCGAGGACCATGACAGAAAATGCTCGTCCATAGTAGAACTGTCCATATGGACCGCTCTGAATTCAAACCTTAGTTGCCCAAGCCATGTAACTCCTCACTCATTGCACTAAATCAGAAAGAAAGCCCATTTGAAGACAAGTAAATAAACAATTCATTTGTGAAGAACATGGGCACGGAAGAATACGCACTCTGGATGAAGACTGCCAGTGGCGTTTTGTCATGTACATTAGTTTGAATGCATGTCGCAAACAATCTGCTGAATGTCTCGGATACCAGCTGAATCAATGTAATGTGTTGGAACATATGTACACTGACCTTTACATCAATAATGCAGTTAATGTATCTTGGCTCGCAGCTAGTCCAACTATATGCTGTCAAGGCCATCAACGTTAAACCGAATCTTGCGGCTGTCACAGAACAGGCGTTATTGTGTACATTAAAACGCTTTACCATATAAGTTTTTCATTGCGTACTTCGTGAAAGGGCTAAACTGTGCTCAAGGGCGAAGTCGTGGAGTCCAGGATTCTAAGACCAACTCTCTGTGCTCAACTCGAATCACTGTCATCAGAAACCTGTCATAAAAGACCCAATAATGAGTAGAAGTCCCATTACACAATTAACATCTTCGTAGTTGCATGACAAGGAATGGATAACAAAACGCGAATTCTACTTGAAATTCAATATTCATTCAACGATATAAAAAATGCACCGGTTACTTAGACAACCAATATAAACTAATTGGTTCAAATTGTACCAGTATCAGCTGATCCTTTGCCCGAGGCTCCTACGCACAAACATACAAACATAACTATCAATACTTGTTCTACATGGTCACAACCTACAGTACTACATTTATGCATACTTCCAGGGTGTAATTTGAACAAGAGTGAAATTTGGTCAAATTGAGCCAACTTCTCAATGCTTTGCCAAACGCCGTATGTGATCATATGATCTACAACAGGATGAACCCCTACATGTCATTTTGTTGAATTATGTTTGGTGCACAAATTTCACCAGTTGAGGCAACCAAACCTAGAGCCAAGACACAGCAATCGATAAAAAATGATGTATTGTTAGCCAGAGGCAACACATACTCGGATTATGATTTGAACAACACATTTGTATAGATTACTTTCCTCAATTACCTTGTCTTCAGCTATTTTCTTTCTTCTTTTTACAGGAGTCTTACCCTTTCCTTCAACTCCTGCGAAGTAGTCATTGAAAACAATCAATTATGCACCAAGGAGCCTTGAACCAACCAATCTGCTACGTAGAGTTGTGTATAAACATTGCAGGAACATAGGAGCTTTATTTTATAAATTATTAAAAATAATAAAGGAATAATAAAACATACTACAAATAAAGAAATGAATTTATTAATGTGCATATTATGCTGCTACCTTTTGAAATTTGTTTTCTTTCTGATGGAGCTTTTCTTTTGCGCTTAGAACCGTTACTTTCAGGAGGTGTAAATGGTAATACAGATTCCACCTGTGAAAAATTTCAGAGTTAAAGTATGCAAAAAAAAAATGATGCTTTGAACGACAGGCTTCGTCACTCCAGTATGTAATCAGTACACACAACACGTTATAGCTGAAAAACACAATTTGGGGCTAACTCTTCATACTTGGAAGATGTGTAAGCCAGAGATGGTGCTGATGTAAACTACTAGTCAGAGATTGTCATTTTGTATTCAAAGAAATGTTTCTCGAAGGGTTATTGCTCAGTGAGAATTTACTTCGGTTTTAGATGCCACATTTTCATCATCTTCAGCAGCGCGTCCCTTGTCAAAAGTTGACTGCAGCTGCCATGAAAATCAAGTCAAAGCTTTGCACTGATTGAAAAATTCTTGAATTCTCACTTCCGATTCTACGAAACTTTCAACATTAGATGTGCGCTTGAACGATCTAAGACTTCCTGAAGGTTTCATGACGATACAATTCAATAAGGACAAACTAAAGTGTGGTAGTATAGGCAGCACCTCTAAGAGAAATAAAGTTCATGAGCCATTCTCACCTTTGTGAGTTTTTCTCTTTGATAAGTCCTTGTGAAACCTGCACAAAAGCACCAACAGTTAATGTTGAAAGAAAACGATCTCCATCGCAAAAGAGAAGCTGTACAAGAGTTTCTGCAGTAATAAGAAAGTCTTTAAATCCTGTTCCACCTGGCTACTTCCACACTTCAAGTTCAAAAGAAAAGAGCAATGAGACCACTAGAATGCTTAAAAACAGATGGATACCGCACACCCATGACAACTACAATAACTTCAAATTCCCATAACTTATGTTGCAAATGTGTCATATGATGAACTTTTGTCCACAATTAAATATAAAAAAGAGAAAAACAGAATCAAGGGGCACATCATTAGAGAAGGAGCTGACCTATATCTACCACAGAATTCTGCGGCTCCACATTTTTAACCTTTTCCTGTACAGCAGAGTGAATACAAAGTCATCCATGCACCCAACACAAGGTTCTGTTCATAAACCATATAAGATACTGTCTAAAAATGTTTGTTGAAGCAAATAGCTGACCTTCTCGCTTGACTTCAAGAAGAACGTAGACAGAGTAGATTGCCTGGACCCAGCTCCTGTAGTACTTGCATTTGCAACTGCTTGAACGGAAGTTGAAAGAAGCATGTCACCTGCAGTGCTTGGAGCTCTGGTTTGTGACATGGCTAAATGGTCGATGGCACTAGCCTCTTCGTCATCATGTTCATCAATTGTGATAGTCATGTTTGTAGAAGGATTTTTATCCACTGCATCTGGAGAAAACGACGAGGTTGTAAATATCGGCTAGAATGTTTTTTCTGAGATTTTCAATTCAAACATACTATGTCTATGCCGACGTCCTACAAATCAAAACATCCTCTCAAGTTGAAGTAAAGCAGAGTAATCAAACAGTTCCAGGTAGCTCAACGGCTATATAGAATCGAATACAAGAACAGAGAGTTTCACCAGTCACGTCCTTCTTAGATGCTTGTGATTCGGGAACCAAGAGAGTATCGTCGGCATCCTCAAATTCAATAGCCTTATTGGCAGCCTTGCTTCTAGATTCCCCCTGTTTGCCATCTAAATCGTCACTTTCATCAGCGTCGTCTGATAGATTCTCTTCTGAAGATGATTCTGCATACCTAATGATAGAAAGATCAAAACATGTGATGTAAATAACTTTGCAAGCAACATTTCCCCACCAGAAATGAGCATAATAATCAGATTGTCATATGTGCTAAGAAGTCGACTTGCTAGAAAAGTTTTTGAGACTTACGAGTATTTCTTTCCAGCTGTGCGAGCCGATTGACGTGATGGTGTCGGAGCAGCTCCCACAATGGCAAAACCAGGATCATCATCATCATCATCTGACTCCCATTCACTTACAACTTTGTGCTTCGGAATTTTCTCTGAAGGTTTTCTCTGAGAAACCTGAGCCTTCGGAGTGCTAAGTTTGCTAGAATCTAGTTGTGTTTCCTGAACCAGTTCCGATTGTATGGGTTGAACATCACCATATTTCCTGGAATCTCTTGGCTCACCAGCTCCGCCTGTGAAATCGTACACCTGATGTTTTTCCTATATTAACAGCACACGAATCGAAATACTTTTAGCTGGATGGCAATAAATCTGAATCATATTGAAACGCTATGAAGCCAAGCATCAAGAAATGAATGAGTAAAGGCTTAAAAGAGTTTTAAAGAAACAGCAGAAGGATGTGAGGTCTACTCAAAGTTATGACTCGTCAAAACTTTAACAGTGCGCTGATTTCAGTGTTACACACTCGCGACCAAGATCAAAAGATTATTAAACAACAGAAGAGGACCTTAATGCATATGGAATGCATTCTCTATAACCAGCATTGGACTCATAGAAACAATGAAGGACACAATTATTCCCTCCCAACTTTTACATCATTTGTGCATATGAAATATTTTTCTCATACAATAACCGCAACTTCAGTTAAATAGCACCTATATTAACATGTGGTACCTGTTGAAGGTCCAGAGGCATATCAAGACGCAGCTCATCCGGGTTTTCTTCTTTTTTGCCGACCCACCAAGCCTCCGGAAATACCACCTGCGAAATATTAATAACTGACTTGAGCTATGTGCTAAAAATAATTTGAGCATAGAGCCCCAGTAATCTGCTGAAGGAATGATAGTTGTCAACTATCAAGCATAAGCAATCCCATGTAAAAATTGTGCTAGTAACTAGTGCTTGATGAACTCGTCGATTAAACTTTAGTTCCCCTTGCAATCAAGTTCGTACTAGACTACTTTGTCAACACTTCCTGTGACTAGTAACAACAAACACGCTAATGTAATTCATTTGGATTATTTGCCACATAATTCGACAGGTTTAAATCGAGAGATCTCTTTAAATACATTGTTGACGCATTGGTAGTGCAAAGAATTAGATCACCAATGCTCACTTACCATACTTTCAAAGAGATCTTCGCATAGAATGCTTCCTGCTCCGCGAACAAAATTCATTGTAATGTACTTGTTGATGGGATATACGATGGTTCCAAATAATTTAAGTCGACCCTGCTATGACAAAGCATGACGATTGATTAGGTTGTCGCAGAAAGGCAAATAAAAAGAAATGTGTTAGTGTGAATATGTATGCATGTCTCTCTATCTCTCTCTCTCTCTCTGTGTCTCTCTGTGTGTGTGTATATATATGTTTGCATATATTGCCTACGGAAAAGAGCACACATAGAGTGTCAAGAAGTATTACTTACCTGTGGAAAATCAATATAAAGGATTGGATTTCTCGAGTCCAGTTGCGTCAGTTCACCGAACTTACCACCAGAAACAGGAGCTACGAGACCCGGGAAAGAAAACAGATATTTGTTCTTTCTATGTCCTTTTTTACAAATATCTTTACCATCGCATTTTACGATACCTGTAGTCAAGCAAAATAGATAGACATAGGATTAATTGGATTCACCGCATTGCTTATCACGAACAATGCCTCCAAAGACAATGATCTCACTTCAATAAATCCTTGAATAATTTGAAAAAATCAATGGAAATTGTCAGTTTACTTACGCTGTTGTAATTGGCATTTAGAAATAACAACATCAAGCTAGACAACCGTTCAAAATATTATTCGAAAGAGAAGCCAAATTTTCTTAAGACCAACAAACTACCCCAACACCTCAATGAGGAATTAGTCCACTTTACCCCATTTAGGACGCAACGCCTCTGCTGGTAAAGCTTTCTTCTCCGACACCAATCCGCACGATCGAGCTAGCTCCCGCAGCTTCTTACTCTGCTTCTCCAGCGACTTATCCTCCTTCGTCTGACTCACCTCTTCTACCTGCTTCTTCTTCCCCATGCTTGCTAAACCCTAAGCCACCTCCACAAAATTATTCAAAACAACCAAAACAACGACACCAGTAAAACACAGCTCCAAAAAATAAAACCAAAAGTAATCGTGCCGTCCACTTACATTTAACCACCGCGCCTCAACGATGAAACGGCCAAACAAATTAGGAATCGGTATCCCGACTACCACGGCTTCCTCACCCAAGCTCAGACAGCCAGTTTCATGAGGAATTTCTAAATGAACGAAGAGCTTCCTCCTAGATAGATACCCCCAGTGCACTCCTAGTTACGGCGTTTTGTTACCAATCGACGGGAAATGCAGTAGCGTAGAAAAATCCAATCAATCTTCGTAATGAGATTCTCGAAACAATGTGGAAAATTTCCTAGTACACTTGAGTTATCGATCAAAGGACAGCTGACGACGGAATCGCCTTCACAAAAACTGGCGCTAAACATCTGGTCCCGTTCACACCTTGAATTCAGTGTTGCATATCCCGGCTGACGTGTCTTATGACGTGACGTGACGTGTAACTTGAATTTGTTGGATAAAACCTCGTCCCCTGGAACGTGGGACAATCCCGACCATAATTGAGACTTAAACATACATATTGTGGGCTAAAAAGAAAAAGAAAAAAGTGCACACTACACAAAACTGTATAATAATAAAAAATTTGAATGTTTAATAAAACCAGGTTTGATAAGTTTGTTTGAATCAATTTTAAAAACGTCATCCAAAAGGTTTATCAGCTTTTTTACTAATTTTCATATGGTAAAATGAAGATAATCTTTAAAAATGATAGAAATGTTTAAATCCAATAAAAATATTTAAATTTAGTTTATTTACATAATAATTTAGAATTGTAACATATATTTGTTTAAAAAAAACTTCTAAAATTACTAATTGTTATATAAGTAAAAATATAAAGTAATTATGTATTGATATTTGTATAAAGGTGAATTAGTCCTATCAATGGATTTTAATTGATGGAATGTTTAAAATATATTTTTAATTTATTTAGTTACAAAATATTATGATTAGAGAGTCTATTTGATTATTGGAGTATGTATTCAAATTTAGAAGTGTTTATAATTTGCAAGAGTCTTATTAGAATATAAGTCATGAAAATAGAGTCTTAATAAGGCTTAGAATCAATTATCTTAATTGGTTTAGTATTTTTTCTTAATTGTGAGAATCAGTATTTAATTAATGACACAAATGTCTACATTGGCCTTCTATTCCCATGTACTAATTATAAATGTTAGTTAGTAGGTAAAAGAAGCATGAGAAGGAACTTCATGTCTTTTAAATTATTTATGTAAGAAATAAAAATATTAGTTAATTGAAATAAATTTTATCATTGTATAAAATTAGAAAATTAAAAAATATCCATAAATCAATATCAACATTATAAAATTTTATGACTTATTCATAATTACTTAGATATTAATATATTTTATATCATTAAAAAGATAAAATAATTATCCACCTAAAAATATATTTTTTCTATAATAAATTTAAATTTATTATAAAATAAATAAATAAATATATAAAACTAAAATTAAAATACATAAAACTTTTAATTCACATTAAATTAATATTTTCACCTTTTTTTTAATTTTAATTTTTTTGGATTTCATTTTTTTGATTTTATTAATAATTTCACTTTTTTTATATTTTTTACATGCATGATAACTTTCATATACTAATGTAAGTTTAGTAATTATTTTTTCATATATTCACATTGTTGCTTCTAATTATAAGTGGTGTTTGACCAATCTAGTGTTAGTGTTATTATTATTTGATTATATTGGTATATTGCTTATTTCTCCAAGAGCAAAAGAAGTGGAATTAAAATATAATATAAAATTATAGCAATAACCCTTAATAAGTTTTAAACCTTAGTTCCTTAATTTATTTGAAGTCTTAGACAAAAAAAAAAAAAAAAAAAAAACATAGTTTAGAAAAATTAGATGGATTTCAAATCTTAGCTCTTTAATTCTATTTGAAATTTTAGATAAAAGTACGGCTTTGCAAAGATAGATGAATTCTAAACCTTAGGTTTTTTTTTTTTTTTTTTTTTTTTTTTTTTTTTTTTGAAATTTAAGTATACATGAGAATGAGCATAGTAGGACTTTTTCTCCTAAAAGTAATTTCTTAACCATTTTATCATCTTATAGTGTAATTAAATATTAAAAATATTTCATTACATACACCACAAAATTCTCTAGCCTATTTTTTTTGTTAAAAAAATTAGTTATGCTTGTGATAGATTTAAAAAATTTAGAAATTTTGTAAAAAATAAAGTTGGATTAATAGCCAACATAAATTTTTTTCGTCATTGAATATATACTTATAGAAAGTAATGACTACTATGAAACATGCTTAATTATTACAACTTATCCTATAAGTTGCTATTTACTAAGTTCATCTACTTTTGGTGGCATATACATATTACAAATTTAAAAAAATTACTTGTAAATTCATTGGTCTTATTTTTTATTTCTATTATTAAATAAATTCCAATTAAGAAGTAATTCAGCTATTTTAAGATTAGCACTTGATCTTAACTTGATATTTGATTAAAATATGTGTATCTCTTGTGAAAAGAGGTTTAATTAAAAGATAATATAATTATCTTAAGATTGGCATAGGATTTCATTTTAGTACATAATTAAACCATGTATCTTATAATGAGATAAAAAAAAATGAAGGATTTTATATTATTTTATAAAATAAAAAATATATATATATATTTTAAAAAATATTATTTATTTTTGTAAACCATCTAATAGATCTTTTTAACTTAAGAAATCAACTTATAATTATATACCTAATTGTATGCTACTTAGACTTAAAACTAAATTAGTTTACTATGAAGGATGTGAATCACAAACAACTAAAAGGTCAATACATCCTTGTGTTCTTAGAAAAGAATAGAAAATCACTCAAAGATAGTATAAGATTAAAATTACAAAGGCTATTGCTAAAAACAAGAAACTCTTGAAACAAAACTAAGAACAAAAATGATTTTGATAAAAGTGAAGAAGGCTTTATTCTTGCATTCCTATATACTATTTAATTATGAGTTACATAGCAATATTCTATAGGAATTCTAATATATATCTAATTTGTAAGATAAGTTTGTTAAATGTCTGCTTTATAGTCAACTCATACTACAAATTGCCAACATGTGCAATATATGGCCAACTTGTTGGCAAAATTATCTTCCTATCTAGGTAATTATGTATGTCTATGATACTTATCATCTTAACAATCATATTTTTCAATCTAGATGTATTTTACAAATTAAAATAAAATTAGAAGCTATAGTTTTAAAAACTAACGTATTAAAAGAACTTTTTGATAAAATATTATATGTTTTTGTTGGTATGAAATATAGTAGAGGCCATCTTATAAAACATCAAGTAAATTCTTTACCTTTTTCAACTTAAAAGGCTAATCTAATCAATAAAAGTAACCACTTCTTTTCAATAAACATCCAAATCAATCCAATGATATTACATAGGAAATTATTTATTTTAGTCTCTTTCAGATCATAAGAGGCATCAATTCTATCTAATCTCTTAAGATTTAATTGATACATTAATGAAGACCTAGTAGCTCATATAAAAAGATTTGTAAAAGTATTAATCATTACCTTTGTAATCAACCACGTGCATTACTTGATATGATTTTTAACAACTTTAATAGATTCTACATATACATGGTATAGATTTCATACAAAGAAGTCATTTATTAAATAGAGGCAACTCCTAGCAGTTTTTTTTTTGTCAATTTAGACATATAATTAGCTAATAATAAACTCTTTTAGCTATAAAAAATATTAGACAAGGTTCTTTAGAAGATATTACATTTGATGTGAGATGATTTTATATAGTATGCATCCAATATATTAGTAATCTTTTAAATAAAGATACCATAAGATACTATTTTATCTAAGGTTTTATTATATCTTCTATAATTTGAGATATATTAAATAAAAGATCTAAAAATTTGGAAGGAATCATTTAATTTACTTCAGAAATAGATGTTATTAATGTAAAAAATAATTGTATGCTTAAAAAGATAGAATTACTAATATTTTCTTTTATAATTTAGAATATTGATTTACTAAATTCTAACAAAAAATAACTTTGATCTATTCAAAGCCTTCTATCTTTCTATTGTCAATTAGCAATCTAATGCCATTAGCTATATAAGCCTTACTTGATCAAGCTCTAAATATAACTTTAAATGATTTTAAATTAAAAAAATTAAAAATAGAATAAGACAAATAAATGATGTGGTTAAAAATGAAATGATGAATATTTTAAAGGCAATAATAAACAAATATTTTATCTCATAAAAAATCAAACTCGAACTATAAAACCTAGGTATGATAAATTAAAAATCTATACCTCTAGATTATAATGTACAAATTATAACCAAACCACACATTCTAATTTTGTTTATAATTTTACAAAAACCACTTATAAATAAATCAATCACAATATTACAAATTTAATTCTATTTGAATTTTATGTACTTAATTACAATAAGTAGATTGAGATGTGTAAAAAAATTAAATAAAAAATTATCAATTAAAATTTCTTTAAATCAAAATTAATGGTTAGATATTTTTAATTATTAAATTTTTTTAATTATTTTTTTTGAATAAAAAAAATTTAAAAATTATGTAGAAGAATTTGAAAGCTTTACATATATAAAAAGCTAAAAATATCTAATTTTGAGGCTTTGGAAGAATTTTCAAGTAAGTTAGATAATCTAATTGACTTAAAAAAATTAAATTTTTTAAAGTATAAAAAGTTTTAAAACTTCCCAAAAGCATTTAAAAACTTGAAATGTTTAAAAGAGCTGAATATATAAGAACATGAGTGTTACTTGCCTAAAATAATGATACTTGCTTGTAATAGTATTACTTATATGAGGAGCTTATATTTGCCTACACATGATATCTGCTAAGGATCCTAATAATATAGCATCTAAAGAGAATTAAGCAAAGAGATAAAGTGCTATTACAAGGCCATCACAATTAATAAAGATATAGTAATGTAGAAGAATATTTAAGAATTGGAGAAATTACAATGAGGCAATTGAGAAGTAGCACAATACTTAGTGGATCCTAGGCAATAGTACCACAAATTAACTAGTATTGGATTGGAGGATGTGCGATTCTAAATAAGTTATAAATTAGATCTTGTTTCTTTTTCAATTATTGTATATGCCAAGTTTGGTCTTAAAAGTTCTTGTCTTGTATTTGTCAATAATCTCAAAAAATTGAGTAATATTTGGTAACATATTAGGGAGCATTGTAAGATAGAGCTTTTAGAGTATTTAACGGTGTTGTACTGTAATTGCTTATAGTATGTAAAAAATAGTTAGAACATATAATATGTTCATAAACCTTGGTGTATGTTAGAATGG